TGAGATTTTCGGTAGCACAAAAGACTGAATTATTAATTTCATTTAACGGTGATGAGGCAATCATAACTTACAAATTCTGCAGGAATTTCGTTGGAGAAAAGAGACTCCAGAGAGTAGTCGTTGGACGTTGATGCATTTAATCTGGACTCGCCAAGACCAAGGGGAAATAGCTCCTCGAAAATGGACGAAGAAGAGGAAGCAGAGGAAGAAGAGAAGAGGTTTTCAGTAGGCTCTGAAAGTGGGGTGTCGAGTATTCTAGCACCGCTTCCGCAGTATAAAAGCAGGTTCCTATGCACTGCCGTCCTTCGGGGTTGCAACAACTCTGGTGGAAGGGAAGAAAGTAGAAGCTCCTCGGAAATCTCACTCTTTCGAGGACTTGAGCGGTTGGCATTAATTCCGAGTTGCAATATGTGGCGGAGGAGACGGGGTGCCTCCTGGCAGAATACCAAACGATGTTCCTGCTCCAAGTACATGTTGTGTGAATTCATAGAACGTAACATTCTGAAAAAAGGGTACATAAAAAATAAACTATTTGCCTACTGGTGATGCAATAACGCAACAGAATAAAAATGCAATAGCTTACATGCACATGGCTTCGTATTCCCATCGTATGCTCAGGGTATTGGGTACAGAACATGCCCGTGCGTGGGTACGGACGTACTTGTACACAAGGTGTGCGGCGCTATAGCCATTTGCATATTCAGAGGATTCGTTGAGGAACTTGCCAACCTTCAGTCCAACGGCAACAGCGGCCTCTAGGAGAAGGATGCTTTCGGCCGAAGCGCAAGATCCGTTTTTGAATACAGAAGACAGACTGGCCTCGAGATTTGCTACTAGTCGGTGTGAAAGCTCGTGTGGGGGAATAAGTGGAGACAAGTCTTCACTATTAGGCACGGGTGTAACGGAGACTGAAGGAAAGGATGAAGAAACCCGGAAAACAGTATGTTATGTGCCAAAACATTTACTTTTAATACTGCACGGTTCCTGAAAAAAATAGTGACAGCATATGATCGTTTAATATTACAATAAAACATTGAAAATAAAATCAAACACATGCATCTACTGATAAAAGGAGGCCGACAAGAACAACACAAACAAGAATGTCCACCTCGAGTTCACCAGCCAGCTATATTCAAGTCTAGGAGTGGATCACCGAGGATTCGAAATGACACAGTTAAAATATTCTTTTTGTTGCATA